CTACCTACCTACCTACCTATCTATCTATCTATCTATCTATCTATCTATCTATCTATCTATCTATCTATCTATCTATCTATCTATCTATCTATCTATCTATCTATCTATCTATCTATCTATCTATCTATCTATCTATCTATCTATCTATCTATCTATCTATCTATCTATCTATCTATCTATCTACCTATCTACCTATCTATCTATCCATCTATCTAAGTCAAAATTCAGCAAAGAGTAGTTAATTAACTAGACCGAGTGACCTTTAGAGGTGGGGAGTGTGGACAACTCAGGAGACAGGTGCGACACACAACCAATATTCCACCGCCACATCTCGTCTTTCCGGTCAAGGAAATAAATCAATATCTCGCGGTGGTCCTAATCCTCACCCCCCACCTTGACACAAGGCCTGGCGTTCAGTGTGCACCCTCGTGAGGGAGAGGGGGGGGGGGGGTAAACAAGCAGTGCACCGAGGCAAGTGTCACCTGACCACAAGCATGACCCACAGTGACCTCACGCCCTTTTTTTTTACATTTTGTATTACATTAAAGTTTTCTCAGTTTAAATTAGAAGAAAAAAACACACATGAGATAGTAACATTTTACTTGATCGATAAATAAAAAAACAAAGCAAACCAAAACTACCCGAAGAGAATTTTATTTTAGTCATCTATTAAATCCCCCCCCCCTCCCCTGCCAAAAAAAATTTCTAAAAAACTTAAGACAGTCCACTTAATATGGAAAACTATTTAAATTAACTTAAATCCCCCCCCCCCCCCCACATACCATACAGCCTAAAAAATATTTTAATAATGACAGTATACATTTTTGTTTTGCTAACCAAAATACGCTTTTATTAGACTAAAGTTCACGGCCAACGAGTGGGTAAAACTTAACCAAGAAGAAACACAACACACTGCACCATATCAAAAATACAAACTCATTAATCAACAATAATGAATGGCGCGGGCAGGACAAGATATGCAACATGACACAAACCGAAGCAGGAAACTGTCGCGTTTATTTCGGGAATACTCAACATCAGCCTGACATAACGCGACACCAAACCGGAAAAATAAATAACACAGGAATAAACAAACAAAAAAAGGGAGATGGCTAATTAACAGGGGCGCAACACAGTGACCTATTGTGCTATTTTCAACCGATAAAATATGCAGTATGTCATTAGTTAGGACGTTTTCTTTAAGTTTTACAGTTGGCTAGATTAAAGTGAGTGAAGTGTGGTTTGTTGGGATTAGGTAATGCCACAACAGGAGGTTTACATCGTGTAAACATTTTATATTGTGTACAGGAAACAAACAACAACACAGAGGCAATTAATTTTTGTTATCCAACTTGATGAAATGCAACATAATTCATTCAAAGTTGAGTTTTTATTCGAGTTTATTTCTGTAAGTGTCCGATGTGTAACAGCAAAAAAGTAATATATGAAGCTTAATGTATTACACGGAATGCACATTAATATTATTAATTTTAAAATGTTTATTTTCAGATTAATATTAATCTGCCACAACGCTATCTGAATTTAAGTGAATAATATCTTGTTGAATACGATACAACTTACAGTTAAAACATTGGTAAATAAAAACATTTAAACGTATTTATCAATTGTGTATGTTATATAATTATTCAACTTAATTCTTATCAATAAGCGATTCCTGGAAATTCATACACGCGAACATTGAGTTAATACTTTTCAACCTAATTGCTTTTAGTTTTGATTTTGTGCATAAGGTATGTGAGTGACCGTGTCTAGTACGTGGTAATACTGTTGGACACGTCATTTTTGTTCAGCATACCTCGCCACGAAGACGCCCAGAAAGTAAATGGCTGCCTCCTTCGTCACAGACCAACTTCCGGTGTACGCACGCGAGTGCAACCTGGGGTAAAACCTGCCTTTAAAAAATTACCCAGCATGCATCGAGGAAGCAAGTTGATCACGTGACGGCCTTAAGCTGACAGGACGTGACAAGCTTCTGCTACATGTCACAATACATGGAAGGACAAGTTTCTTCAGACGTACAGCTTTTAAGGGGAACTAACTCTTCCTGAGAAAAAACGCCTGATTGGTCTAAATTATTATGCTATTTTCATACGTCAAATCACATATGTTTAAATGACATATTCAAGGAAATAAGTGGAAAATCCTTAGTTTAAAAACTGGACGGTAAAAAGTTTATTCCGGTAACATATTTAACAAAAATAGGTAACGAATTTACTGTCTTGACACATACATTTTCAGACCAGAAGAAGTTTTATTTATTTTGTTTATTGAAACTGATCATATTAGCCTTGCATTATACACCAAACAGCTATACGCCAAAGAATTAAAAAAGCTTAGCAAAACATGGTGTAACATCAAATTCTGATATTCAATTATAGAGTCACAAAAAATAATGAAGCGTGAATGAGTATAAAAGGGATCTATATCATTCTTCACATGAATTACTCATGACTGGCAAGATATGAAACAAAGAGACTAACATAATTACAACCTTTCAATGTGGACCTGATATAGCACACCTATCATTTCACTGACATATACACATATATTGTTCATAGTAGATGTGTTCGACTGATGGTGATACTGAAACAAGAGAGCCATGATAATGGTGCTGATAATTAAAGCCACTCAAGTAGAAATGATTCGTTATTCGCCAACAACAGACAGGAACGGCCTACAGACTCAAACCCGGGATCCGAACTCGATACTTTCGTGTTAGCAGTCGTGAGCTCTACCACCCAACCCGACCGTCCCCTACTGTTTAACAGAGCATAGAAACTCTTCAAACGACTCTATTAGCGAACATTCCTCCCTTACACAGCAAAAAAAAAAATATATAAAAAAAATAAAAAAATTCCATAGACCTAGTCACAGGGGAGAACAAAAACTAGCCCACCATTCGTGTCCACCTATCATATACAGCACTAGGGCAGATAAAAATAGAATGCTAATGTCTAAACTCTTTTAAGGTTGTTGCTCTTCAAGGTTAGAAAAGGTCTTCCAGAGTTTCCACCTGTTTGATATCTCATATTTCATAACATGACCTCTGGTATCAAAGGCGCCATCCTGTGTCATATTGTTTGCTTTAACGATTCAACAAGGAAGAGAAGAGTTAGAACACAGCGTGTAGTTGATGCACAAGTAAAAAAAATAAAAAACTGGAATGGGCAAAACTAACACACTTTGTCTTCAGAAAACAAATGCAGTCGACTTTTTTTTTTAAACTCTACTAAACAACCAGATGTGAGGTAGTGGCTAAGAATGTTGGAATACAAACTTTTATTTAAGTAGAATTCTCATATCAAAAGTATGTAACAGAAAGTAATGTTGGACCAGGGATACTGAAATATTTGCTGCAATCTTGGTTTATTTAAAAAAACGATGTGCGGAAGACATGATTCATTCATTTCTTTCTACTTCTACAAACAGAGACCACGAAGATTTGCAACAATGTCACGAGTTTACAGAGTAGAGAGGTCCAATTCTAACATTGTTTTAAACCACAAGCAATAATAATTTGTGTAACACGCCTAGGTTATTGACCACTGGCCGTACACGCATATTAACAAAGCGGTTTCTGGTTAGGTTTTAGACTAGGGTTAGATTTTTCTCTGAGCTAGGATTAGATTAGGTTTGTGGCTGAAGCATCGTCAACTATAAACGAGCCTTACTCATTTGTAGCTCCGCCTAATCGAACAGCTATGGTACTGAAAATTAAGTTTATATTACACATCTTTTCGTCCAATCGGTATCATGTGCTCCTAATTGCGGATATTACGGAAAAAAAACAACCTATGTGTTAACGTTACAAGGGCGGTCTCGCCATGCACTACAGACGTAAGCCAAATGAGCTTGTGCTGATGCGATTAATGAGCTGTCAAAAAACTCCCAACCAACTCCCTCGCGTAGTGACGTCATCAAAACGTTTTTTTTAGTTTCATATCAGGTTGGCAAACAGTTTAATGTCCGCCCTTATAGGACACGAAATTGGGTTGTGTGCGTCTTTTTGGGGAAGGGGTGGGGGGAATTCTAGGAGAAAGCCGGGAGTTGGTACCGAAACCTTCCCATGGGTGTGCTGTCGACAAGCAAGAGGACAGACGTTCGCGATTGTATTCCCAGTCCGTGACGCCGGTTCGGCCCCGCGCATGACATGGGGAAGATAACCTTCACCATAATGTCGTGGGTACGCCATGACAACCACGTCACGGCAATTAGCTCCCTTGATTGGCAACACGTGAGGGGGGCGATATCCACGACGTCCGATTGGACACGGCACGGTCAGTGCAAAACAAAAGGGCGTTGATTTAACGCTACGGCGTAAAGTACGGTCAGGAGTTAAGATACAGCTGGCTTTACTATTCCATTATTTTTACTTGAGTTATTTTGTTAAGATTCACATTTTCTACTTCATCTGTGTGTGTACTTAAGTAGCAAGTAATGACAAGGGGTACCCAATGTATAGGTGGCGACCCCAGAAAAGTTTACAGACGATCGCCGAGACTAAACCAAACAAAAACATTTTTTAAAAATTGTATGGGGGTCGCGGGTCACTTAACTTTTATAACAAAAAGGGGGTCGCAGCTCGAAAGTTTTGGAACCTGTGGGTCACTAGCAACACAGAACTGCGGGACAAGACATGGCAAACCATATCGACGACAATTTCAGAAGTATACGTGGGGGCGGATAGGACATATCCTGCACAGCTAGTGTTACTATTGATAGACGGGCATAATAGCGGAATCATAAAGGGAAAAAAAAAGAGTGGGTAGTGCCAAAAAAGAAAAAAAAAACGTTATGATAACATAACGAATGCGAAAACCAGGGTAAATTGGTATTAAAAATTGAGTAGGATAAACAGACTTAATGGATAATATGTCTATAATACATACAATCAATAATAGTCAGATAAGAGATATACTTTGGTTACTTTATAAAGACAACGGGTTCTTAACAATTATAAAGAATCATCACAAACTTACCTCAATCTTATCCTTGGATGTGACAAGGACAGCCGCCATGAGCGCCCCAGCAGACGAGCCCCCGACTTTCTCCACCTTTTCTAAAAACGACGGCGCCCTGTGTATCAGACAGGAGACCACCCCCAGGTGGTACATGCCCAGGAAGCCGCACCCGCACAGCGACAGGTTGAGCGGACTTATCATGTCCGTGGGTTGGTACTCAAAGTCCTCCGCGTCGCTGATCACCTTGGTGTCGGCGTCCGGCCGGAAGCAATGTCCGTCAAACCTCGGCAGCGACTGGGATCTGAACGATTGTCTGTCGGTGCTGGAGATTGTAGGCTGGTACTGTGACTCAGTCTCCGGGTCAGTTTTGCTAGTGCTGATTAGAGATTTAGCTTTCAAGTTCGAGGCAGAACCTCCGCTCTTCGAGGCGGGGGTGGAGCCCGAGTTGGTTGCGCTTGCCTTACGGTGTGAGGCGGAGTCTGATTTAGATTCGCTCCTGGGTTTGGAGATTAACTCAGGCTGGGCTGAATCTGCTCGTGAGCTGCTCCTAGTTTTGGGAGTTTTTTCTAAGAGTAAAGAGTCCGATTTAGACGTGACGTCGAGTTTGACAGTCTGATCCTCTACGGGAGTTTCAGATTTATACGTTGGTTCCAGTCGAACCGTGTCTGATTTTGGGGTGCTCTTAACTTTAGAGTCTGGCTCTGGTTCTTTAGATTTGGATCTAGACCTGAACGAAAAGTCGTTTCTCAGGACTTGTTTTTTACGGTTGGCCTTAGCCGTTGTGGGGTCACTTTTTGTTTTCTCTACGCTCGACTTGAGAATAGAAGGGTGGGGTGGTAGGTCTTCGTGCCGTATTGGCCGGTGGTCAGAGTGTGATCTAGACCCAGAGGTATGCCCACGCTCGTGCTTATCTTTTTTTTCAGGCTTGTCTTTTCTGTGTCGTTGTCGTGACCTCGATTCGTATTTGGGCGTCCTCTCGGTGTTTGTTGAATGAGGGGAGGGTGGGGCACGTGATGACGAGGGCGTCTGTAAAAGCCTGGAAGAAGAGTTCGAGGGCTGACGCTCGCGGTTTGTGGAAGAAGCCTGAGAAGGCCGGCGGTCTTTATTCGAGGACACGCTCAGACGATCAGACCGCGGGGTGGATTGAGCAGCTCTCGAAGGTTCTGGTTTTCTGTCGTCAGGCGAAGGGGACCTGTTCTCTTTAGATTTCTTCTTACGGCGGAAGATGAGGAACAGGGCGCAGGTGGTGCTCTGTCTGGGCCGGGCGTCAGCCGAGTGAGATCGACTCTCCTTGTTCGTCTGCTCGGCCAACCCCGGCATAGACTGCGCCGGTTTCAGACCAGACTTCTTCTCCCGGTTCTTCTCACACTTCTTCGCGGCTAATGTCTGCGCATTGTTTGACCTGGGCATTGGTGGGAATTCAAGCAGAACCTCCCGGGAAGCCCTCCTACTACTGGTCAGCGAGGCGGGTAGCTTCTCTGTCGATGTTCTGGAAGAGCGTTCGAATGATTGCGATGATGAATTGTTCTTTAGACTGTTGGTGATTTCCTTGGAGTTCTGTGAAACAGATTCAAAGACCGAGGAGCAATTACTTAAACGGCTGTCTTGTCTGAAGGCGTGTGGGAAAGATGAACGGCGACCATTTCTGGGCACGAAATTTTGTGAACTGGAGCTACTGTGCTGTAGACTCAGTTGCCTTCTTGCCGAGATCTTAGGGATAGGTTTTACCTCTCTTTTCTTAAAGAGGGAGCCGTCTACAGACTCGGTAGAAATCCAGGTGTTTCTGGATATACCTGAAGTCCCTGACAAGATCGTGTGGTCTGATTGTGTTTTACTGAGTGGTGTGTGGTAGTTGAAAGAGCCTCGGCTAAATTTTCGGGGTGTCTTTGGCGAGGAAGTGACGGGGGTGTTAGGGACAGTTCGGTAAGGTCTTTCAGTTAGAAGTGTTGTTATGATCTCGTTGTTTGAATCAAAGGTAGTCTGAGAGTAGGATCTTTCCAGAGTCATCTTGATGGCTGGTTTGACCAGCGGTCAGCCTGGAATGAAAGTACACAGATAGAATAAGAACTAGTGCTATGGAAGAATTAGTTTAGTCAGAAAATAGATACATAATATTTTGTTGCAACAAAAAAGTAAAAACAATAGAATAATTACTCTTATAGACTTAATACTTTTTATTTTAAGTCTACCAACTCAATTTATTTTTATAATGGATACCAACTCAATTTATTTTATAATGGATTGTAAACCTTTTTTTTTTTAAATATATATGCCGAGGTCACAGAAACGGAACTATTCTTTACTTGCACATAGACTGTCAGGTTCAAATGGGAACTTTACATCTATTTTAAACATTGCCAAAATAAACATTCATAAGTAACAGGCACATGTTATCTGAGATTCTCGATTTATTAGCTCGCAAATATTGGTATCTGGCAATTTATAGCAATGAAAAACAAAAATACAAGACTGATGCAGCAAACTAATGTTGACTATAGTCAAACCACGGAGCATCAATACTTTAACAACGTACTCAAGGTAAACATTCCATAGAAACTATGTACTATTAATAAAAAAAAGAACGTCTTAGAAGAAACAGATTGTTTCGTACAACCGCAGTGATGTTGTAAAAACGGCAGCACAAGAATTGGAGATCCAAGACCATTGTGTAAACACAAATACAACACATCCATTGTCCATATGCAACAAAGGTTTGTTTTACTTTTAAAAAAACAAAATGTACAACGAACGAATGAAACAGGTATACAATAAGTGTGGTGTTGGCAAAGGTTTATTTTACTTTAAAATAAAAAAAAAACCCACAAAATGTACAACGAACGAATGAAATAGGTATACAGCAAGTGCGGTGTTGGGGTTAGCAAACACACCTGTTGGAAATACATGCAACTGAAGACATATCGCTGGAGGTTGTTAAACCAATAAAACGTGACGAATAAAACAGTGTAACACAGCTAGTAAATATGTGAGACGCGTTGTACTTGCAATCACGTCAGCATTTAGGACAAGGTAACAAAACAACCAACAAACAACGTTTGTGACATACAACAAAATGAGCTTTATTTCAGAAGAAAAATAAATCTATTTGGGGATTAAGCGTTTATTTAAAAACAAATTACGCCCTTAAGTGGTAGGGGATAAGGCGAGGGTAGTATTTCTATTTAAAGTGTTTATTTTGGATATTTGTTACAGTGAATGGAACAATTCTCAGAAGTTATTGTAAAATCGGGGATCGGGTGGCGTCTTGAGACCACGTTTGACAATGGGGGTGGGGGTTGTTTTGTTGTGTAAAGTCGACAATAATACTGCCAAGGTTTATATTTTAACTTTACAACAGTGTATACATAACAAATAACTATATACAGATGGATTCGGTTTAAAAAAAACGTGCTGGTTTTCTGAATATTTAGTATTTTATTTTAAGACGCTATAACCAGAAACTACCAAACAAACAGTGAACTTCAAACAAACGAGGACACAAAAACTGTTTGAGTAGACCACTGGTCAGGTATCTGACTAATCTCACAGGGCACTCGCTGATGTGGCGCTGCAACCAAAACTATGTCTAAAATCAACACGAGGAAAACACTGCCCAATGACTGGAAGAAAAAAAAAACACTACCCAAACAAGACCACTGGTGACCCCAGTGTCTCGGGGTCAAAAGTTAAATCCTCACCAACACATCACAAGTGTAGAAGACAAAAAAAATAAACCGGGAGTGATCTCCCCTAAACTTTCTCGAATATTCTTATATAAAATAACAGGGGATGGGAACTCGGGCTATAGACATGATTTTTAATCCATTTTAAATACTTAAAGTTTTAAAAATAGAATAAAATCTCGTAGACAAATTAATTGCACACCAAGTGAACGCCAAATAAAAAAGCGCATAATAGTGCGCAATATTATTAGTACTTCTAAAATTTACATTAGTTTTTTGAGAAATCGAAAGTAGCGTAAATTACTACTTCCTGTCAACGGAAATTACTCAAAATTTAACAGAAGGTAGAGAATTAGATCTTTTACTTACATGTGAAATTTCATGTATCTATCTGAAATAGTACTCAAGTTATAGGCTTTTGAAAAATTCAAAGTAGGAAAAGTACCACTTCCGGTTATCGAAAATCGCTCAAAAGTTGATACGGATCTACTATTTTGATAAAATACTTATATATGAAATTTCATCAACCTAGCTGTAACGGTACTCAAGTAATCGTGTTTACACACGGACACACAGACACACACACAGACATACGGACAAGATTGCAAAATTATGTTTTTCCGCATCAGTGAGGTGTAAAACGTCGAGATTTGTAAAAATCTCGATTTTTTTTTTTTGCACGATTACAATACTTTCTCTATACTTCGTATATACGAGAAAGTAAAAAGGTCAAGCTTATATTTAGTATTCTTTAACAAACACAAATAACATTTTACACACTCAACTCTTAAAAAACTAAAACTAACGTATAACCGTTTGCGAAAAAAGGCGAAACTGTTAGCTTTGTAAAATTATTATTTACAGTTAATTCACACGGTTAGCTGTTTTAATATAACACTACAGTAACCATTGCGATGCACTAGAAAATCAATCAACCGGTGTCACGTATTGCCCCTGACGTCACAGGGCGTTAGACGCACTCTTATTTAATCCTCGGTTATGATTGGCGTCAGCCTGAGACTGGTACCACATCTTACTACACGCTGGTACCGGCATCGTTATAATCACGCGAATGTAGAAACGACAATAATTGTTATTATGCTGTGAAATACAAACTCTAATACCATACACTTTTTAAAAATATAATACAGAGCAAATTAAGCAGTCTTTAAAAAAAAAAAAAAAAAAAAAAAAAAAAAAAAAAAAAAAAAAAAACTAATTTTGTTCCTTAATCTACCTGCAAGAAAAATAAGTCATCGATCACGTACAGGTAGATGTCGGGGCTTAAAAGGTAATCAATCAAGAGTTAAAGAAACAGAACAAATAAGAAACTAGCTCTTTGCTAATGTAAAGTAAACTAATACAACATGTCTACAATACAGATCAGCTATTTTAGTTTAGTACAGCATACAAGATAAACAGATAGATATACTTTCATGATAATTTAATAATATGGTTCCTGACATTAATTAAGATGAACATGTTGGAAACGAGAAACATCTACAAGTTCCAACAGTGAGCTCTGTGGTAGCGGTTCGGTAATTGAATGTACAAACACGGTTTTATTTTGGGACGTTCAAGCTACCACAACACACCTAGTATTGAACGACAACAGATAAGAAACATATTTATAAAAAAAGGTAACCCACGCTCACAGATAACAGTTGTCAAGGTAATATCGCGTTGGACTACTAAATTTAGACTTGGACAGATAAGAAATGTTAACACGGATTTGCAAAGATTTCGATGAATTTTTAGTATTGAATTATTTACTTAAGTCATCGAAACAGTATAGAAGTTCAGTACAATTTTGACAACGATGAGTTAAGTATCAGCAATTGCAACATAAAATAATTAGGTAAAGATGTCTATGAAAATAAAAAAGTCCAGCACGACAGCTAAAAAAAGAAAGACACAAAAAAACAAGGGGAGCGTTTTTTTTCTCTCCAAACAACGACAAAAAAAAAAAGACAAAAACCAAGTCATATGGAAATAGTCAATTTGAAATGACTAAGAACATAAGCTTGCCCTGACTAGAGTCCATTACGGTGAGAAAACAAGCCGAGAACAAAGGAAAGAAAAAAATCTGAAGGCGAAATAATTGAGCCAAGCCTAGAAGCGTAGGCCTATCCGCCGGGTCCTGAACCTTTAGGAAAGAAACTGTCGTACGCCCACGTTCAAAACCAAACCACGGCTTGCTTTTGAAGACGTTACAAGGCTTTAGTTGGAAGGAGAAATGTCACTTGTGATGTGGCCGCTAGGCTTCGTGTGTTCGTTACATAATAAATCAAACAAGTCTGGTTGATTAAGTGATGTCTGGAGATGATGTGATGTTGTTTGTCTACATGTTGTCTAGACACACCATTGATTGTTTTTGTAGTTGTCTGCTTACAAATTTACCAAAATCATAACTGAAGATTTAAACGAACTTATTTATAGATTGTGTTATTCATTACTTATTAGTGTAGATTTCTAAGAAAAATGTTTTACATTTTCCCGAAAAGATTTGCTAAAGAATAATTTACTTAAATTTTATTGAAATAAAATGATGCGTAGTAAACGGTAATCTGCTCATAATTGGGATAACCGATGTGATGAACACACAAAAAATAAATACTAATAATACGGGTATGAATACTAGGTCTACATTGTAAAAAACAAATCATGAAGAAAGTGATCACCAATAGCCACAACATTTATCGATTAACAAGAGTGATATGAATAACAAGTTTCGTTGTTAAAATTAATTTGTAAATAAGAACCGACCACACTATAATATAGGCCATACAACCTTTTTAGCAATACAATTTAAATATTATGTATTTATCATCCTGTGATAACCTGTCGAATTAGCGTTATCGCAAAGTAAATCTATATTTAAAAATCTAAATCTAGATGTGCCTAGTCTCTGAAGTAAGACTAAAGTAATCACTAAGTTAATATTATCTTTAATGTAACAACTTACAGAAGAATTCGTAATAAACCCATTTTTTTTTTAAATTTCGGCAGACGGAGAACACACATACACATCCGAATGTTACATTGAGCTTCTACTACTGTGACATCCTAGGTAAATCGAATGGCGGTTAGTGGGACACGGTCCAGCATAGAGCGAGCTCCGACAAAAGCCTGTATTTGCGTGGTGTTTCGTTTCCCACTCGGTATCGTCACATAGCGTAAGCATGACTAATCAATGGAGCGGGATTTCCCGAACAACCACGAAAGCCGGCCCTTGGTTGCGTGCGGGGATAAAAATAGATTCTCACCTGTGCTGTATTTTTATTGTTGGGCTCTTGTGAGGAGCTATATTTAAGCATGAGGTAGTGGTCAGCGTCGATGTAGCGCAACAACAATTGAAGAAAGGTGGGGGTATTGTTGTAAATGGGCATTGATTTCAAGTGTGTGAATAGTCTGAGAATGGAAAAGCACACTCAGACGGCTGAAGACTTAACACACTTTGGCTTGCACAAGCGGGTAGACGACTTAAGGAGTTTTTATGTTGTGACAATTTGGCGAGACAAAAAAATCACTGAGGTAATTAGACCTGGGATTAGTAGGACACGAATTTGTCTATTGCGCTAGATTAAATCGGATTATCGTATCGGATAAGAAAGAAAAAAAAAAGCTTCGAAATTGCATACAAGTAATTGCTAAGACGTCATGAGACTAAGTGGGCTGCCCAATACCAAGTCGGGGGGGGGGGGGGGGGGGGGAGGCGTGTCTGCAGCCAGTTGCATTAAAAGAAGAAGATGTAAGTTATTTCAGGCATGTTTTTCTTTAAACAACTGATTTCGAAACTTTGTTTTTATGCATTTTAGTTATATATTAAAAAAACCCAACTCAATGTGCGTATGTGTAACATAAGCTAGTGTTTCTAAAAGTTGAGTGAGCATTGACGATAGAATCAGAATCAGACACTATGGTATGGGTCGAGTCTTAGAGCCAGCGTTACTGTGAGAACACCACATCATACGCGGCTTGTCGACGTTTAACCAATTCTCATACATTGTTATTCAAAGAGCGTTGAAGCATATTAATAACGATAACAGAGCAAATAATATATGCATCAGGTTGATAAACACTTTACCATGGGGGTCAACAGAAAAAATAACATTGCGCAGTATCTGAACCAGCCCAGACAGGTGAAAGTCGTTAGTTAAAAGTTTACAGCAGGTACAGAGGGAGGGCAATCAACTTTACGATACTGTTTATTCAGCTATTTTTATTAACTGTCTATTGTTTCAAAACAATCCGGTTTGGGCTCCTGAGTACCTGCGTCGTAGCCTATTAAGCGTGGTGCTGCCAATAGTGTGTAGACTGTCGCTAGACATAGACTGTTGCTACACAGAGCGTCGTGTGAGATTTACCTTTATCGAATTTTATATACAACTGCCAGGGACTGCACACTGAGTCATGGTTTTCTCCTTCTTCGTTCTTAATTGTAATGTTGGATGAGATTTCCTCCAACACAATTAAGTATTTCTTGTTAACATGTTATGCGGCATATGCCGTTGAATTTCAGCCTGCTTTTCATAGCCTTTTTATCCATACAAGAACAAACTACAAGGCAGCAATCGTTCGATTTTGGAGTTTTCTCTCCTAGATGGAGTTGCTGTCCCCAGCTATCGAGCCTCGTCTGTTCGAACTCGGGACTTTTCGGTTTAGCAACCATGAGCTTAAACGCTCCGACCAGACCGACTCTACTCCTGCGAGAAGCACTGAACCCTTACACCTAGCTCAGCAAAACGATCGATTGCTTGGAAATCCACGGTTATTCCCCGTCTAAAAATAGATCTCACCGTACAAAAAAAAAGAAGGCTGCAACAACTATACACATGCGTTGACGCATCGAGCTTTAAAAGTACTCAGATACCCAATGTTTTAAATGTGTGCAACACCCATATACATTTTTTTAGTCGTTGCGTCGCACAGTGTACCTGTTTAGCGCGATACCTATCTTGATGTCTATCAGACACCCACACAGTCCTGTGACGCTAAAAAAAAAGGCGGTGGCCTGGTTACTGAATTTGTTTACACAAATGTTTAAGTCTCATATTCCTCGTACCAAACCCCGTACATTTTTTCTTCTACTAGAAGTAACGAAAATGCTGCACATTCTTTAGGTTACTTTAAAAGTACAGATTGGTTATCTTCATCACGGCTTAATTTAACTAAAAGTATATAATAGCCTATGATTTTTATAAGCACCGTATAGAATTTAAATTACTGCATTTGTTTTATGTGTATAGTCACAGTATTCTATACATAATAAAACAACTTATTGTTTGCTTAATAATGTGAAAGCATATATTTATATACAAGACCTTTGAATATAACTTAATAGAGGGGATGGAAGCAGGCCTTGTTACTGAAATAGCAATATTAACAGAAAGTGATATTTCAACGCCAAGTCTAGACAAATGTACAGAATATAGTCCAAGTAGAGACAGAACAGTCAAACCCAGAGGGATCCGAACCAGCCTATTCACGCGGCACCAAATCGCCTCTTTTAATATACTGTTACCGTATATTTTAGAAGTGGGACGACATATTATTTTATAAAAAAAATAATTAAAAAGGTAATTTATCTTTCTAAAAAATTACCATTGCACTTACAGTCCAGCCATTTTCGTGTGTCTTCCAAGGTATGTACACAAAGTTTGCTCAACCAGTCTCCAAAACTAATAAAATAACTACACAAATCTGAACTGCCGATACTGTACGTTCACATAGTTTCACATGGTGTTTTACTAAAGCATTATCCAACTATCAGAATACTCTTAAACGTTGACAAGTCATGTTTGAGACTTCCACTCAAGACATACAGAAACTACACCACAGTGTTCATACTCTCCAACTGTCTATCCCCATTACTGTAATAAAAGGTCTATCCCCAGCTATTCTACACAGCGCCACTTAATCGCATGACCTTAAAGTATACAATGCAGTACTCTTAACTGCGCGACTTTCGCCGTGTTAACTAGCGGAGCGTACACTGTCAGTAAACGGCACTGCCGTATAGGCAAGCTGTCAGTAGACAGTGAGTGTGGCAACTTTTAGTTCTCTCGCCCAGTGACATAATGCCAGCTGTGTATGAATTTAAAACTCAAGTCTGCATTAAAAAAAAAAAAGTAGATATACCAGTTGAATGAACAAGTCATGCATGGTTGAACACAGGTAAATCAAACAGCGAAGCAAAAAAAAAAAAAAAAAAAAAGGAATTCGCTATATAGAACATGATTTCTACAGTTTAATTAAAAAATGCTGTATAAACTTTTCTATGACGCTTTTAATAGCTTAAGTTGGTGTACGGCAGATTTTTTTTAAAAGATACGTTTAAATGAGACACAACAATACACAATTAATCATGGGCGCCATGCTGTGTTCAAATATTTGCAGGTCTCAATACTTTAAACAAATTGTGTGACGTGCCGAATTGGATGTTCCGGTATAGTGTGACGCCTAATGGGGTTGCCAACATTTTAACTAATTTTAATGAACAAAATAACACAATTTGCACTAGATGTTGTAGAATGAAATTTTCGTCCAGTCACACATTAACGTATTTTACTGCACTAATTCCCCCCCCCCCCCCCCAACCCCAGGGATGTCATGGGCATTAAGGCGATAACTCATCCAATATAGTACTATTAGATGAATATCAGTTGGCCTCTAAAGGTATTGCTACACTAATCCTCGGCGTGACCCTAACACAAACTAACAGGAATTTTAAAATAAAAATAAACCTCCATAACACTCTGTACTGCCTTTTTCCGCGCTATATACAACAAGAAGCCAAAAGTTCACGGCCGGCCGATCAATACAAAAGTGTATAAGAATGTTAGTCAACCTAGGTTGGAATGGGAGACAACACGTCGGTGTGGGGCGGGCTGTATACACGTGTATTGATTTCCATGCTGACATCGGCCGGCCGTACACACTACATGGGCATCGAGGTCACGCTTGAATGAACATGCCAATAAGGCTGTGTGCTTATATCAGGACACTACGCTGACATATAATGGTATGCATGACGTGGCTCTAAGGAACACAGCTTTTTATTGATATATTGAAAATACACACACTTGCTTGTTAAAGAGGAGTGTGAAAAGTTAAGAAATTTTAAGTTATTGAAGTTTAAGCAGTTCCGAAACTAGAATATAAACCTCACAAAGCACTAAACTTGCCAGAACGTCAACATTTGTAGAGCATATTTTTTTGCACTTAAATACACATACAAACATAAAAAAAAAAGAAACAATTCATAGTTAATTGAATTAAAATTTTGGTATATAAATCGACAGGAAATAGGGATATTTAAAGAGTTAAAGTTCGACAATCTTAGTGGAATTTTTAATGGTAAAATAACATTACACAGTTCGTTCCAGCCGGGGGCCGTGGTGCCTAAGAAATAACTACATGTGACCGCATGCCACAGACAGGTTAACTTGATAGTTTCCTCCTATGGTGCGGCACCACCGACGCCCACAGCCCACCCCCACCAACCAGACTGAGGCTTTGACTCGGTGCCAAGTCCCAGGCAGCCAAGCGTCAAACGACTCTAGCTCCAGAATCGCTGCTGACATTAAAAAGCAAAGTCTCGATTTTTTTTTTTATACTTCGTACCGGCTGGGGGGAACATGTGATCTAGGGCGCCCGAACTATAGGCCAAGGGTAGACGCGTGACTGCCGTCCTCGTTAGAATTACAAAGCTGACATTCACTGATTAAGCTCTAAGAGAACATACTTTTAAAAGTTCATGTTATAACCAATTTCATACATTTAATAACGATACATTTCGAGAAAAAAAAACGACAACACGTGACCATGAATAGTTCTGCTAATGGGGGTCTCAAGTTCTATTTTGTAATTTTTTGTTTAGTTATTTTATACATTAAAAGATAATTAATTATAAATAAAATTATTCTACAAAGGGATAGATAAAACAGTTGAACCACAGTTAGACGGGAGTGTGTACTATTCGCATATGTTCAAAAGTCCTTGTAAAAAGTCATTCAATCGTTAGCGAATCATTAATAAAAAGTTGTCCATAGTAACGCATTAGCGTTACGTTTTTTAAATATTGTTTTCTTTTTATTCCGTCTGCAAACCATTCTAATTTTTAAAAATAAAACGGCTATAGCTAATTTTTCAAAATTCATTGATTAAGCCTTTTCTTTAAAAAGACTAAAGAAAATCCTTTAGAAAAGGCTACGGAAAATCCTTTTCCAAGTTTCAACTTTGTTGTGATATTGAAGTTGAACGTGAAATGACCCCCAAGCGTGAAGCTAGAGCAGTACACATATAAACATAGGTGTACATAATCCAAAAAACTACGCCGATGATACAACTACTGGCGAGGTATTAGAAAACAAGAACTGGATTTGAGGCACTGATTTGAAATAGTCTTTTGAAGCTCCAGAGGAGCAAAAAAGCTACAGCCATACCTTTCCACCGGGTAGCTTTCTTGAGGATTTCAGACACTACTTTAGGGTACTACTCGATAAGGTTATGAAAAAAAAAAACATGCAGTGCAACAATACAATTCCGATTTTAATTTTTAAAAATTTAAATTTCAAAGAAACAACACGGCATTCTACACATTTTAAGAATGTGTTATAATACCACAAAAATGGTGTCTTCTTAAAAAAAAAGAGCGCGTGAAAGTACTAGTAGTTAACTAAATACTAGTATGGCTTGCTAACTCTATCTCAAACCCGGCCTAACCAAAACAAACTCACATTCTACCATAAGTAACCTTCACCTCTAACCACAATTTTAACCTGAGGTTATAACCTAACTCACCAATTTTCTGTAGTTTATTACGGTCAATACTCTCAACTTTTTTCAAAGAAAACAAAAACGTTAAGGTACTCTTAATAACTTTAAAAAAAGCAACAACAACAAAAAAAAAAAAACAGCCCGACCTTCTTCAACGAAACAAAATAGGAAATTTTATAATCCTAAGTAGAATCGCAAAGCCAAACTAAACTGCAGCACATTTTTAGTCAAAACCAAGGTCACATATTCTGTTGAATGTACTGCCTTGCTAAAAGACTTTTAATTATAGTTTGACATTTACCACCAAGGACATTGACACAAATATCTGTAGTCTAGGGGTGAAAAAAAAAAAAAAAAACCCGACACGGTTCACTGATCACGGTGAATCAACCCCAAAGGGAAGCTATTTTTATACCCACCAATGAAAACATAAAGGGCCACTTTTCAAAAAGATGCAGTTAAAAAGAAATAATCTCATTGGTGGAAGCATTTAACAAGTTATACGTACATTGCTGAGATGTAGTAGGAAATATAAACATTACACTCAGTATAAGATGATAAACGTTCTACTTTGTAAGCAGCTTGCCAAAATTAAAAAAAAAAAACTAAACAACCCAAGTAGATGTCTTTTAAACAATCAATGTAAATGAAGAGGAATCTACTTAGGTTAAAATAAACACAGGCAAAAGAAGCTCAGAGTGAAGATTTCAAGAACTATTTCATTTTGATAACAATTGAAATCGGTGAAATAGTTCAACCCAAAGCCTAGTTTAAATCCAGACCAAAATAAATAAAAAATGAGTTAAAAGACACCTCTAAGCCCTAGATTAGACTAACACAATACCTATCGTACATCAGCCTCCCCGCTTGACTGATGTTGGTAGCTAAAGAGGTGCTGGGCTGGTATAATAACCTCTAAATTTAGAATCTCTGCCACAAAAGGGAACAAACTGGAGCTTGTCAAGTGAGACAGCCAACAGGTAGCTTTGTAGTTATTACCGGATGACGCATTTCGTTATTCTTCAAATCGAAACTCTTGAGTTTTCAAAGAAAAAAAATAACTGTTCCCTTCAATAACTATGGTATATATTTTTTTCCGGTTATCGGTGTTAGGTATAGGATTACGATGGGGGCTAGGGTAGCGATACGAGCAATATTAGCTTCAAAAACGAAGATACATAACATAATTACGAGTTTAATACGCTCAAGTATATTTCTTTAACAATTTAGACAGTGAACTTTAAAATAAACACAAATCTTTCATAGCGATAGTTTAAAGTAAGTGTAGATAAACTGTGTTTAAATGTATTAAACACACGATATTTTAATACAACTATCCAAACACTCCCGAAAGATTAAAAAATCAAATACGTTTTATGAGATATGGAGGAACATTTACGGTGCAGAGCCAAGACATCCACCCCTAACGATTTGACAACATTACGAGTGTCAAGTGTTGACACTTCACCCTGCCTGTTTTGAAGGGGCGACAGTTATTGTTTCTCTGCTAAAAGGACAGTAAATATCAAGGCATATAAAACACAGAGCACTGACATTCAGTCACACGCCTGGCACTATATGACAGAATCGCGGTGCACGCGTCAGGAACATGATAGAGGTTCAAAGACTTCTGGAGATGTTCTAGACCAGGGGTCTCCAAACTTTTCAGCCCGAGGGCCACATTAACTATCAAATATCAGTTCGGGGGTCAGTGTTTTCCAGGCATCTTTGAGAGGCGGTGAAGCACCCCCCCCCCCCCCGAAGAACGTCTACCCCCCCCCCCCCCCACCAAATATAATTTATATAGAAATATATACAAAGTTCAAGTACCCCCCCCCCCCACCCCCGAGAAAAAAAATCTGAAAAACACTGGCGGGGGCCGACAACACAATCGAGGTCCAAGTTTGCTTTAAAATTGTTCTTCACGTATTTTATTCTTGAAAATGTTTGTTCATACAGCTGTGTATGTTGTTCCAAAATTTAAAAGGTACTTTGATGCAAAAGTGTTAATGTTAGGGAAGTCTTCCATGGGCAAAAACTTATATAAAACCCACCCACCCTT